ATTTGCATATAGTACACACAAATATATTTGTATATGATATAGGGAAGGGGTATGAGGACTATTTTTGCAGCAGAGGGAGCTAAGAGGTTGGATTCCAAGCCTACGTCCTCCAAGACACAGCACTCAGGCAGACATTAATGGGTGACACAGAGCAATCTCTCCAGACGACTAGGGATGCCACCAGGGATGCCTCCCTGCAGTTAAGCCCACAGCAAATTAAACACAGGTTGTGCTTTATAAGAGTTATAAACCAACCTGCCCTATTCTTGCATCTCATTGAAGTTAAAGATAAACTTACCATTGTTCCTCTATCCTCCTTTCTCCCCATACCAATGACTTTTCCATGGAAGCAGGAAGCACGTGTAAACCCTAGCCTGGGGGATGGAGGGGGTCTCCCTTCCTCTAGTGCTTAGAGACCGCCACTCCGTCTAGGGGGTGGCCTTGGTTTTCTTACTTACTCTGCTAACTAAACTTACTTGTACATTACACTCTGTCTTAGCTCACGTTTGAATTCTTTCCTGTGTGAAACCAAGGACCCTCTTTTCTTTTCCTGTATCATATACACATATACACTTTATGTCATAAGGCATACACTTGAAATAATAGCCTTTGTCTTTTAGCACTGAAGCACCCAACAATACTTATAACTGGATGGGTTCAAACTGTCACTTTTTCTTTCCCATTGTGGTGAAATAAACACAACATAAAGTTTACCGTTTTAACCATTTTTAAGTGTACGATCCAGTGGTATTAGGTACATTAACACTGTTTGTTGTATAACTATCGTCACCATCTATCTCCAGAACATTTTTATCCTCCCAAACTGAAATTCTGTAGCCATTAAACACTAATTCCACATCCTCCCTCTCCTCCCATCAAGCACTGGCAAACACCATTCTACTTCCCGTCTGTATGAATTTGACTACTCTAAGTACTTCATGTAAGTGGAACCGTACACTGTTTGTCCTCTTATGTCTGGCTTGTTTCACTTGGCATAATGTCTTCAAGGTTCATCCATGTTGCAGCATGTGTTAGAATTTCATTCTTTTCTGAGGCTGAATAAGAAGGCTTCATTTGAAAATTGAAGTATTTTAGGAAGACCATATGGCTATAGCTCACACAGGCAATTATTTCCAATCCTCTCTTCTCCCTCTTAGACCACATTGTATAAATAGTCTAACGAGATCTAATGGCATGGCTTCCTGGTGCTGTCCTTTCTCCAGGAGTGGCTTTGCCCTTGAACTTGGGCTCTGGAATCAGATGGACAGACATACATTTGCATCTGCATGCTGCCACTTAAGAAGTTTATTGTCTTGGTCGCACAATTAGGTTAAACCATACGATATTGCCGATATTTGTTATGTATAAAAATGACAACTTCATATGGCGCAACCTAGTTCTCTACCTCTTTGCTACTTAGTTACCTTAGGTAAAACATGAAGTTAAAAATAGTGCCTGGCTCGCAGGGTTGCTGTGAGGATTGAATGACCTAATGTGATGATTTAGTCTGTGCTTGGCCAGAGGGCACTGAGGGCTGGAGCTGCTGTGGGAGCTGTATGTCCCCGCCTCCTTTGAGGAGAGACAAGCCTCTCCTCACAAGTCCAGGCTTTCAGGCCAGGCTGGTCACCTCTCCTGCCACCTCGCACGCACCTGATTGATTACACCTTCATCATCAGCTCAAGGGCATGAGAGTCGATCCGGAATGAGAGCAATTTTTCTGACACTTCATTTTAGAGGGCATGGAACAGTGAACAAGATAAATACTATTCCCTATCTTCATAGAGTTAATGTTCTAGTCAGGGAGGAAGAAAATAAGTAAGAAAAATATGGTATCTTAAGGAAAACTAAAGTACGGCACGGGGATATGAAGTGTCAGGTGACACTTTAGATGAAAGAGGACACATGCTACCTGAAGCAGGTTTGAATGTCACCTTGCTTCCAGCCTTTCCCTGTATCACTTCCCTTCCTCCCTCCCTCCCTTCTTTCTCTTTTTCTTTCTCCCATTTTGGATCCTGGGCAGCCCTCCTGACTTACTTGAAGCTGCTTTTCAAGGAGGCTGTGCGCTGACTCTGCAGGTTCCCTGAGTGAGGAATTCCAAGAACAGCTCCCCTTACTCGGGCCTGTCTGTCATGGGCCGCTGCTTTAGCCGCCCTGGCTCCGTGTCCGTATTAATTGGCCTGTCTTGGGCTTTACTAGAGTTCTCTCTGCAGTTTACCCTTTCATAACCCAAAAGTCTCCACACATCTCCTACCCAAGGCCTTCTATCTCCTGGCCAAAGAATTCCCTCTCCTGGTTCTCAGGGAATTCCATGACCACACCATGAGCAAAGCTGTACCCCTTCCTCATTGGAGCTGTTTCTCAGTCTCTCGCCAGGCCTGTTGTAGGCCAGTCAGGGTCATTTATGGAAGGGTTTGCCGTCTCTCCTCCCACAGTGTACATGAGACTCTTCAGGACTTCAAAACTATTTGATAAAAAACACAGAGAAGATCACAAAAATTGATCTGTTAAAATATGTATATTTCAACACTGCTTTTTGAAATATATTATAAATGGTTTGTCCTTTTTCATTTGAAAGCTTTTTGTTTTACTTTGTGATTCCCCACGCAGGGAATTGTATCTGTGGGCCTGCGGGGAGGGCTGGGGATGGTAGCTGACTAGGCTGTGCTTCCCGCCTGGGGACTAGTAGGTTGTCCTTGGGTTTGAGATGAGCTACGGTGAGGGGTGGCCCTGGGCCTCGGGACGCTGCCTCTGAGGTTCACCACTGACTCAAGCTTTTGCTCAGAAAATGCTGCCTCATCCTTCCCTCATGGCTGCTCAATCAGGAAAATATTATTTTCAGATGTTTTAAATTTGTGCAGCAAGAAACATATGTCCTGACATATGGAGCACAATAGGAGCTAGTTAAGGCCAAAGTGGAAACCAGAAATGGGAGTTCTCTTTTTTTCCTTTTTTGAAGTCAGACCCTGCAGGCCAGATTTCCCCAACCCGCAGTCTGAGCCGTGCTCTAAATTAGAGAACATGTGCATCAGAGAGAAACTGGACACAAAAAGGCACCCGCGAGCCCCTCTCTCTCGCTAGCATTACACCCAATTAGGAGAGCCGCCGTGGTGCTGCTGTAACCCCATCTGGAAACCAAGTCACAGACAGCCTTGCAAATGCTTCAAAGTCATGTGCACCATGATATACAATGTTCAAATATATCAATTTGCCCCTAAGATAGTTGCATTAAAGCTGTCCACGTGAAAATTTGATTGGTGTAATTTTAACCATTCGTTTTGAAAATAAAGCCTTTAGAGTTAGAGTAGTAACAGTATTGGACTTTCACATTTAATCTGAGAAAGAAAAGAAAGAGACATACATATGAAAATGGCTTTCGCTTATCGTCCCTGACTTACTCAGCAAGTGCCTTCTTGGTGTGCAGTGTAGAGCTGGGCTCTGTGGAGGCAAGATGTGTAAACCAAGTCCTGCTCATAAGAAAAGCTTCTAGTCCACCTTCCTCATCCCCCTGGCTTTTTCTTTCAGGACCTCTTGGTTTCATTTATTGAGTGGTCCACATACCAGGCATCGTGGGACAGCTCTCATAGAAGTGGAGGAGACAGGTGAGAAAACAGATAACTGCTCATTAAGAGCTTTGCTTGAGATAACTGCTACAGGAGCTCAGTGGGGGTCATAGAGACAGAACATAAGGTCAGAGACAGCTTCCCAGAGGTCATGGCGCTCGAGTTACATCTGTGCCGTTTACCTGAAGTATATTCGCTCCCAGTTTGGTCAGGTGATGATGATGCTTGGCTCTGTCCCCATGAGTCTGTGTTGGCAGCTGAGCTAACATCAGACTTGCCTTCCCTGGAGCCTGTGGGCAGTGGAGCCGTGTGCTTCGAGTCTGGTCCCTGCCCTAGTCAACAGAAAGCTCAGTTTCCAAGCTCTGCCCACGTGGAACACCCCACTGAATTCCTGCTTCCAGTCTCAGATGCAGGTATCTCTACCCTCACCTCGCTTGCAGAGCAGAGACATCTAATGGATCTTCCTTCCAAGTAATGGCTGCTCTTCCGCAGCCCCAGACACCAACTCAGCCCCTTTCAGGTTGTTGAGTGTCCTCTCCTCCTCCTTCTCACCAGAGGGGGCCACTCAGAATCTTAACATGACTGACTTCTAATAGAAAAACATCCTTACGGAGTATCCACAAGGGAGGCTGTTGCTTCAAAGCGAGTGGTGGGGAAAGGTGCTGTGGGGATGAGGGCCGAGCCAGAAGGAGGCTTCCTGAACACTAGACTAAAGGCTGTGAACCACAGGAAGCCATTGCCGCTCTTATCCGTGGAGCTAACAGGATGAGAAAATGGAGTTGTAAGAAAATAGCTCAATGATGGGATGTAGGATGGATTGGATGAAGAACAAGACTGAACACAGGCAGAGAAGCCAGGGTAATAGTGCAGTAGTTCAATTTTAGTGTAATAATAGTGTTGGCCTTGGAACAGGAAAAAAAAAGTGACACAAAGGAAGAAGTGGAAAGACTTGGCAGAGGATCGGGGAGCATGGAACGGAGAAAAACAACAATCAGTGGTGCTGAGTTCAGGAAGACAATTGATCTGATTCAGCACAGATGGAGGGGTTGGTGTTAGAGACCTGCAGTGACACGGGTTTAATTATTATTTTAAAGGCCTGTGCTAAACATAAGGGCTGTCCACTGAGTATAAGCAGATGCTTTAAGGTTGGGCATTTGTCTTTCCCAGTTTTCCCGTTCTTCACATCTGATGTTTCCCTGGCCTTGGACTGCGGTCCCTGGCCTTGCTGTCCTCAGGCAAGCATCCTTATTCCCCATCTGTGCTTTGTAACAGGTACTCAGGGTGTGGGCCCAGGAACAGGTAGAAAAGCAAAAGCAGGTTCTAACCTGGAGACAAGGCTTGCGCTTTGAATGGTTTTGGTTTTATGTATTTTAGTAAAACATGGCTTTGTTTCATAATGTAGAGCTTGAAGGGTCAATTTTTCAAATCCCAGACTCCTACTCTTTAGAAGGCAGAATCAAATGAAAAATAACTTCAGGTTGAATTATGGGAAAAGCTGACGTCTGAATTCACCAAAAGCTTGTTTGGAATGGTCAGGTTATGTGTATATGTGTCGGTATCTACAGTCAGGACTTTCTAGCACCCAAATCAGATGGCATTGGTGTTTCCATTTCCTTATTCTGAAACAGCAAGAGGGATTCTTGATGCTCTCGAGGCCGTTTCAGGTTTCTCTCCTGACATACCTCAGACAAGGCTTTTCCACAGCACAGCCATGTGTCCTCACACACCTCCAGCTCCAGCTTCCTTTTGAAAATAAAGCTCCCCAGGCCAGTCCTCTTTAAGAGCCCAGGCCACTGCACAGAATGCTGTAGGCATCACATTGCATTCGGAATGCTTACAAGCCCTCAGGTGGAGAGCTCAGAGCAGTCTCGAAGAGCCAGCCATGTGTTGTTGGCCAACTTCTCTGTGGAATTTCTATCTGTTCTTTACTGGTAGACCAGCCTGAAGTCAGTGCTGAAAAAAAAGCAAGCTTGATATCTTTGCTGCTTTTTCAGTTTCTGTTTGGGGCACTGGTGCTGTGTTAATCAAAGGCTCATGGGAAACATAACGCCTGGTGCGGCTCCTCAGAGCAGAACTACAATTGATTAGAACACGGAGGGCTCCTTGTAAATGCTGTAAGTTGTATTGTTAGGTTAGTGTAAAGTTACAAAAATAAAACACCTAAGTCTGTTTCCTTGCACATTCAGAGTTAATATCCATCCTGTGGGGATGGAAACATTGAGGAGGAAGATGGGGGAAGGCAATGAATGTTCAGCTGGAATAAGAAATAGGATAGACTACTATGAATAAGCTGATGCTTTTTTCGCTGTAGAACTTATTTGGGTTAATCTTATATTTAATGCTTTTAATGTTAAATTATAGATAAATGACCATTTTGAAACATTTATTGGATAGGATTTTCATTCAAGATGACAGAATGAAAAATTTGAACACATATTCTTATTGCTCTATATTAACATAACAAATTTGAGCTGTTCAGTCAACTCCTTTGAAAAGAGAGAATGGAAAAAGGGAAGGAGAATAAAGCAACATCCCAAGAGGCAGAATTAAAAAAACAGAGAACTCCCTTCACTTGGTCAGTTATTTTGGGGCAAGAGATAAGGCTCCTTATTAAGAACGAGCATCATACAAAATACTTTGTGTGAGGAAATTAAATAGAAAGAAGGAAGGGAAAGCAGGAAGCCAGGGCTATGGAAAATGTTCCTCCATTTTTCTAATTATTCACTTCATTTCCTGTAAAGGAATGGCTGCCCACTAGTGGGTTGGTCTAGTTTAATATTTACCTGAAAGTACAATTTTATTGCCCAAGCTTTATTAACAGAGTCAAATTGCCAAGGAAAAGTGAATGAGCATTAGAAAAATGTGGACTTTCTGATTATTAGTGGCTGTGTTAGAGAAGATATTGTATAATTTTTCTCTTTGGAGTAATGAGAGGTTAATTTGGATAGATAATGCAAATAGAGAACAGAAAAATCATGTAGGGGAAGACAGTCAATTCAATCAAACCCCCCCCTTTTTTTTTCTACTTTAGAAATTTGACTCGAAGTGTATATAAGAAATAAATTATGTTCTCTGCACTTGACCTTGAGCGTGAAAAACCTCCTAACTCCCACCTCCGTGAATCTTTGCAGTTATCTTCATGTTTCTTCTTAAATCAGTTCCTATAGATCAGAGAAGAGGAGGGGTAACTCTTACCCACAGCCACCTTCTTGAGGAGCCTAGCTTCTATAGTGGAGGTGTATGTTTATATACTTGGGGGTAGGAAAGGAGAAATTTCCACCTGACCTTTCAGTGCAGTCCTTTTCTGAAAGTGACTTTTTCAGTGTGAATTCTCTGATGTGGTTTAATTTGACTGAAGTTATTCTTATTTTTAGCCTATTTAGCAGCAAACCCAAATTTAATATCACTGTGTGTGTGTTGGGTGAGGGGGATAGTGGTTTGACTGGTTGAGCTATTACTGAGATTCAGTCATAATCACTATATTGGCTGTACTTAGTTGTCTGGAAGGTAAAAAATGAAAATAATACTTAGCTCTTAATATCTGGTGATAATATTTGTAAAGAAATTATGACTTCAAGTCTTGAATTGCTATTGTTATTATTGGTAATACTACTTGTAGACCATGTACAGGTTCAGGATTAAGAAATTAAGTTATGAATTCCAATTGCAGTCTTGAACAATACACTCAACCTTTCTGGGAATGTCTTTATGCAACAAAAACAAGTCATTTTAACTTTATTTTAAAATATATTGTTCTACCGGCCATTGAACTTCCAGGGCTGGATAAAATTAAGCATCATTAGCAAGAGAACATCAGACTAGGCAAGATAAACTTAGGATCTTACTCCTTGCTTGCGGTGTCTGTTTCCTAAGTGGAAATCATCATTCTCCTTGGGCAGTGTTCTGAATCCATATCTATCTAATGACATATTATTCAGCAATAACAACAATATGCTGTGCCTGAGACTCATGTCAACTGACATGTGAATAGCACTCCTAAATGTTGTAAAGGATAGCTCCTCGTCTCTACAAGGATTTTGCTCCTATTCATAAAATCTAACTAATTGCCTCTGGGTTGAAAGACTGGGCTTATGGAGGAAGCAGCAGAGGCCAGGTGGAGCTGCACAAAATGCTGATTTGGCTTTTGGAGACAGATGTTCAGGTTGTACAGGGGCTTGGAAATCAGAGTGACAGGTACAATGGGGGTAAATTTATTACCTTTGGAATTGGTGGGGGCGTTGTCCAGAAATGGGTAAGATCAGTGTTTCTCACATCTTAATAAGCTATGGAGCATCTGAGGATCTTGTTCAATTTCAGAGGAAGAGGAAGAGGATTTGAGATTCTACATTTCTAACAAGCTCCCAGGTGATGCCAAGAACTCTACTTTAACTAGCACAGGAAACCGTGGCTCCTAGGAGATCTTTGGTAAAGAGAGTGTACCAAGGAGTATAGAGACAAGAGGCAGAGAAAGGGACCCTGGATGTAAAGTTGGAGCCTAGACGCTGAGGCTGCTGAAGGTCAGGGGAGTTGGGTTTTTGGAAAGCAGATCCAGTGCCAGGTGAGGCAAGGGACATGTGGGGCAGACATAGGCCAGGCTGGTCCTCTAAGACATTTTTCTGGGGAGGCAAGTTGTATTAGACCAATGTGTGCGGGATTCAGTATCGGCCCCGCCTGGTTAGAAAGCACTTTCCATGGGTGGAATAGGATTTAATAGCCCCTAAACCAATGGGAGAACCCATGTTAAAAACGTCTATGCCAATAGAGGGTAATAGCTAAAGAGAAGAGCTCTTGAAGTCAGGTCTGGGTTCAAAACCCAGCTCCTCTAGTTATGAGCTGTTTCTGGCAAGGTTAGCCTCTCTAAAACTCAGTTTTCTCATTGGAAAAATAGAGCTAACCAGCTCTCATGCTTGGTCTATCAATTTTATAGAACATACTTCCAACTTACAGGCACCAAGATCCAAGGTGGGTTACACTAAGCATGTTTATTTCCTTTCATCAATATATTCTCTTGGATCTGATGTTGGAATTCAGGCTTCATT